AAAAAAACAATAACAATGGTGATAAATAAAATGAATAATTTCCTAGTTCTACATTGTAGTGAAATTTAGATTTCCAAGGGTTGGGGAGCCCCCTTCCAGCGAGGTCTGCTAAATTCACACTAACTAGTAGCTAATTATATTTAAACGGAAGATTATTTTCATAAAAAAATGTTTCTGATTGACACCTGGTATCATATTTAACAAATGCATTAAATAGAAAATGTAATTGTATATGATATTCAGCCTAAAATGGCTTACAAGACACTGTTTAAAATTATAACTAATCACATAGACTGCTACGTCTTCTGTACATATTATATAAGTGGTTTGCAAGTGGAATTTGTAATTCCTCGGAAGACATTATAAAATTAAATTATGTTATATATATTTACCTGTAACTGTGATTTAGATTCAGTACCTGTATCACAGACTTAGACAACCATCTAATTCCGTGCCTGTATACACATCATTAGTGTACCTTCAGGAACTTGGATTGTTAAGTGCCCGGGGGCACAGAGTCGGGATATTTTCCCGAGTCCAGAATGGAGTCGTACTCCAGATAACAGATTTCTGTTATTTCCTAATTAGTGTCACAAACGCAGGGCTATTAAAAGTATATTTCAATTCAATTCAATTTATTTCAATTTGTTTCCGTAAGTTTTACAACTTATAGGATTTTCAACAAATAATTTCATATAAGAACAACATATAATTACATATTACTGGCACATTCATCACAAATCAGTAGCAACAACAACATCAAAGACATAATAAATCGCCTTCATCATCATCATCGTGGTGGCCGTCGTCGTCGTCTTACGAAATAATCATCTCTTTAAATCATCAAATACTACACCATCATCATCATCATCATCATCATCTTCATCATCATCATCGTAGTGGCCGTCGTCGTCGTCTTATGAAATAATCATCTCTTTAAATCATCAAATACTACACCATCATCATCATCATCATCATCATCATCATCATCATCATCGTCAAAGTTCAACAATATGACATAATTACATGAATTTCATAAAACTGGTACATTTTTTACAAATCACCGATATTATTGAAATTACGTAAAACAAACTTATAAGTTAAACAATCTTTCGTTTGTTAGCTTCAATAATAAATTTACCTAACAAATTCAGTTCTTTTACAAATGTGTGTATTTATTAATTCGATAGGTTTGAATACAGAAGGTTTTTGCCGGTAAATTTTTAATATATTTTCTCCTTAGATCTAGATGACGTGGGCAGGNCCGATTGAGTAATTCAAAATTACGTAAAACAAACTTATAAGTTAAACAATCTTTCGTTTGTTAGCTTCAATAATAAATTTACCTAACAAATTCAGTTCTTTTACAAATGTGTGTATTTATTAATTCGATAGGTTTGAATACAGAAGGTTTTTGCCGGTAAATTTTTAATATATTTTCTCCTTAGATCTAGATGACGTGGGCAGGTAAATAGAAAACGAAATTCATCTTCTATCTCTATTAGGTCACAGTTACTGCAATATCTATTATTCCTTGCAACATTCCTGTATCTTCCCGTTTCTATTGCAAGATTTTGAGCTGACATACATAATTTGGTAATCATAATTCGACGTTGTATTGGTATAAACTTTGTTAAATAAAATTGCAACATCACGGTATCTACCATGTATCTATAGAGATCACATTTACTTGAGATGGCCAACGAGTTGAATAAAATATATGTGTATACAGTATCTCTGGGAGTCGAATCAAGTTTTCATGTCATTTAGTATTTTGCTTTCGGATGATCAAAGACGTATATATTACGTAATGTAATATATACGTCTCTGGATTGATGTATAAGAAGCGTAACGTAATTCCTTTTATTAATCTATTTAATTTTTAC